GAGCCTGCACAGGGTAAGCCAACTATCTGTATTGATAGACCATCTTCAAAGACAAATTTGCAAATTTCCGGTCACATGGATACCCCAGTTGTCCATGATAATCCCAGTAACTCATCTACTCCCAACAATGTAACAAATCCTCAAGATTGGGAGAAAGTAAAGGCGATCGAAGCAAGAATCAAAGCCATTGAGGAAGCAAGTTCTTATGGTATAAAGGACGTCACGAGCTTGCGATTGGTCCCGAATGTGGTATTACCACCAAAGTTCAAGACGCCAGAGTTTGAGAAATACCAAGGAACTTCTTGTCCTAAGGATCATCTCACCATGTATGCTAGGAAAATGACTCCGTATATCGAGGATGACAATTTGCTAATCCATGTCTTCCAAGAGAGCCTTACGGGAGCTGCCATCACTTGGTACATGCGTCTCGGACGTTCTCATATCAAATGTTTCAAGGATTTGTGTAACGCTTTCCTTCAACAATACAACTACAACATTGATCAAGATCCTGATATAACGCTACTCAAGTAGTTGTCCAAGAGGAGTAACGAGACCTTCAGGGAATATGTCCAAAGATGGGCAGGGTTGGTCGCTCAGGTGAAGCCCAAATTGTCTGATGAGGAAAACATTTCAATGTTTATCGATACCCTGCAGCCACCATTCTTTGATCGGATGATTGGAAATGTTCATTCGGATTTCCGCCAGTTGATAAAAATAGGGGAGAGAATTGAGAGTCGCTTTGGGAGCGGAAAGATCAAGAAAAACTTCGCCAACAAGATTACTCAAAGTGATCTTACAAGTGAAGATATGGAAGAGGAAACTTCATTCACAAAAATCCTCAGCCAACCTTAAACGCCTTATCTTCCACAAACATCATGTTATACCTTTACAAATGGTATCGAAAGGCGGTCCCGAAAGCGAAAAAGGAAGAGTTTGTATGACCCAATCCCAATGTCATATGCTGAATTGTTGCCGCAACTTTTCCAAAGATCATTGTTGGCTCCAATCTCTTCCAAGAGGGTAGACCCCCCATATCCACAAGGATTCAACCCGAATGCTAGCTGTGAATATCATACTGGGGCAATTGGTCATTTCACAGAGGATTGTGATCAGTTAAAGAGCAAAGTACAATATCTGATTAACTCAAGATTGATCCACTTCCAGGGAAATGTTTTGGTTTGAGAAATACTTAAATCACCCGAAGTAGTTATCCTAGTACTACCCAAATGGTGTAATTCAACTCTATTGCTCTCCCCAAGGCTTTAGAGTCATAAATAATGGGCACTCATGTTTATCTTATCATGAATAAATTTTATTTTCTCATGAACATCGTTTAAAGATTATATATTAATGCATTGATCATGCAAATTTTCTATCACATACTTCATTCATTCCACAACCCTCATTTACCAAAGATAAACAAAATCAAAACAAACTAATTCATCCATTAACATGAGATATTTGATTCAATAATTTATATGAAATGGAGGATGATGCAAATGTAAGACCCAAAATAGTGCAAGTCCATAAGCAATTTTTTCTGATGACGCAAGGCGTTTTTTGAAAATCTCACACACAAAGAAGATACCCCTAGTCACCCAATTTGAGCCTAAGACTTTATGAAAAGGAGATTTTTTCTATACCCGCAAAATATCAATAACCTGGGGACGGGTAGTTACTCAACTATTTTCCTTGACATTCAATTATTAAATAAAAATAAATATACTCTACCTACATCATTTTCCATATCTAACCGGGGGAGTGGGAATCCAAATAAAAATGTTCATCGGTCAAAGTGCGAAAAAAAAAGAAAAAAAACAAAAGTGAAATACACAAAGGACCCGCCGTGATTTCAAAATAAAAATCTCAGGCAAAATTTAGGGCAGACAAATTGCACTATCAATGACCACCAAAAGGACAATTCAAATTCCTCTCGGGAAGATCTTTGCCTAAACATTAGGCTTTCACCTCTTACAAAGAATCCAACAAAATCTTAGTACTTTAATGTCATGACTAGAAAATTGTTGAGAATAGGACAATGGAGATAGGAGAAAGGAAAAGGGGTTTGGGAAACACTTATTTGACCACTATATCTTTTTGGTAACCCTTAGCCAGACCAAGATACAAGCTTAAAAGACCTTGTGGAGGATTCGATTTGCCTGAGGCATGCAATGGGGCAGAGAAACGCTGACTCCAATAAACATCATTAAGTTATGATAAGAATGTCTCACTTTTAATGCATCGGATTAAATCACAATATCTTACCATCATCACCACCACCATATCAACACACAAAAAAATCAAATCAAATTGGCATGATCATTGTTTTAAGTATTTCTTTTTAAAGAGTTGCGCATGAAAACAAGCTTACGACAAGTGGAAATTAAGATAAGGTTGTCAGTCCAAACTGAGGCAATTTATGGGGTATGATTTGAGTTCGCGAATCAAAAGTACCAAGAAACCCATAGTTGAGGCAAGACTGAAGTTACTCCTCACAGACGAGTCCAAAATCTCTCAACCAAGCAAAGACAATATCTCGTATTCTCACCTTCAGGCTCTGAAAGATGATCAATGCTCCGATGCATTTAACATTGTCACACTTGAGGATGTTCAAAAAATAGTAAAAAAAAACACAAAAAAACAAAGAATAAAAAAGGAGTGCTAGGTTGAAAACCCACAAGGGCAACCTAGGAAAAGGAGAGCGATGCTAAGCCGAAAACCTTCAATGACAACTTAGTATCAAAATAAAAAGAGAGAATTCCCGACAGGTACCTACACTAGGTACTCTAGGCAAAAATTAGGGAAGAGAAATGAACATTCTCTAGTGAAGACTCATTGTTGCTCATCCTCAATTGTGCAAACTGGGGCAGTTTTTGATGTCAGAATCACAACCTCCATTTGGAAAGATTCTCGCCAAATCATTAGCAAAGATATTGTGGCAATTTATTGGAATCATACTATTCCAATAAATTCTTGACTATATACTGGGGCAGTTTATTGGACGATCATATTCTTCCGATAAACTCATAACATGACACTGGGGCAAAATGGATGGTAAGGTGCTGGCAGATAGTCCCTTCCAACAAAGATCAACATGGATCGCATTTCAGTCGAGTCCATATAAAACCAATTTGTTTGATCATAACCTCACAAACTAGAACATCTAAACATGCATTACTCATACATGACATATCACGCATCATTCAAAACATGACCATATCATAACATGCTCTCAAGAGTTCAAATCATTACTCTACATACTTCGCTTTCCAGGACCCCCCATCTGATGTGCTTTTATAACTTTCCAGGACTTTGAGCCTGATGTGAATCTCGAGCCATTGAGTGCTCACACATAACTTTCCAGGACCCCGATCCTGAAGTGATAACATTCCAAGACCCCGAGACTGACGTGATAACTTTCCAGGACCCCGAGCCTGACGAGATAACTTTCCAGGACCCCGAGCCTGACGTGATAACTTTCCAGGACCCCGAGCCTGATGTGAATCTCGAGCCACTGAGTGCTCGTATATAACTTTCCAGGACCCCGAGCCTGACGTGATAACTTTCCAGGACCCCGAGCCTGAAGTGATATCTTTCCAGGACCCCGAGCCTGAAGTGATAACTTTCCAGGACCCCGAGCCTGACGTGATAACTTTCCAGGACCCCGAGCCTGACGTGATAACTTTCCAGGACCCCGAGCCTGAAGTGATAACTTTCCAGGACCCCGAGCCTGAAGTGATAACTTTCCAGGACCCCGAGCTTGACGTGATAACTTTCCAGGACCCCGAGCCTGAAGTGATAACTTTCCAGGACCCCGAGCCTGAAGTGATAACTTTCCAGGACCCCGAGCCTCACGTGATAACTTTCCAGGACCCCGAGCCTGATGTGAATCTCGAGCCACTGAGTGCTCGCATATAACTTTCCAGGACCCCGAGCCTGACGTGATTTTTAATCTTTCCAGGACCCCGAGCCTGATGTGAATCTCAAGCCATTGAGTGCTCGCATATTACTTTCCAGGACCCCGAGCCTGATGTGAATCTCGAGCCATTGAGTGCTCGCATATAACTTTCCAGGACCCCGAGCCTGATGTGAATCTCGAGCCACTGAGTGCTCGCATATAACTTTCCAGGACCCCGAGCCTGACGTGATAACTTTCCAGGACCCCGAGCTTGAAGTGATAACTTTCCAGGACCTCGAGCGTGACGTGATAACTTTCCAGGACCCCGAGCCTGATGTTAATCTCGAGCCACTGAGAGCTCGCAATTTATTTTACTGTCTCGAGCCACTGAGAGCTCGCAAATTCATTTTTCTGTCTCGAGCCACTGAGAGCTCGCAATTTATTTTTCTGCCTTGAGCCACTGAGAATTCGCAAATTTATTTTCTATCTCGAGCCACTGAGAGCTCGCAAATTTATTTTCTGGCTCGAGCCACTGAGAGCTCGCAAATTTATTTTCTGCCTCGAGCCACTAATAGCTCGCAAATTTATTTTCTGTCTCGAGCCACTAAGAGCTCACAATTTATTTTTTCTGTTTCGAGCCTCTGGGAGCTCGCAAATTTATTTTATCGTCTGGAGACCAAGGTGCTCACGTGGTCATTGTCTAGGCCTTGACAAAATTCATGTTCATTTCTTTACTACTTACTTACTACAATAGCATACAAACTTCACTTTGTTTGCTATCAAGTAAACAACAAGTAAAGAGGGGCAGCTGTGAACACTCAATTTTGTCAGGCCTATATTCCAAAAAAAGTAATAATAAAAAAGGTCTTGAAAATAACATTTTATCTTGAAAAACCAATTATTTCTCTTGAAGAATAAAACATGAAGTAATGCCTTGATTGAAAGTGTTAAAATTTTATTCAACTTGACTAAAGAGTGTTTTTAGAGGAGATTATTCAGGATGTCATTATCTCAAATCCAATTTGTACTTACTTTAGTCCATGTGAATTCCATGGGATGACATAATACAAATCCTAGACAGAGAAGAGAATGATATCACTTTCCTTTGCTAACGAGTCACATGCTACTTTTACTTCAAACAAGATTGTCTAAAGTTTGTATTAATTTCTTACATGCTCATTCTCACATAAAAGCAAATATAAACTTAGTGCTACGGATAAAGCAACATGGACAAAAATAAAAACTCTCCATCCTTAATCAAGCACCCTTCGACAGAGATGTTGCATGGGATTGGCATGGAACCAACCAAGTCTTCACCAATAGCCTCACATGCCTTGTGTAACACCCCAAATTTTAATCTTTAAAAATATAGTATCAGTCCTGGAAGCCTCGCTTGATCGAGAGATTCTCGCCTGAGCGAAAAAGGATCAGCTGGGAGGGTGAAATCCTGGACTATACTGGAGGATTCTCGCCTGGGCGAGAAATGGCAATTTTGGGCTGTTGATACAGTGTAATCGATTACACTATGCTGGTAATCGATTACACACTGATGGTAATCGATTACACTCTGCTGGTAATCGATTACATCGTATTAAAAGCATCAGATATGTGCATCTGACACAGTGTAATCGATTACACATTTCTGGTAATCGATTACACATTTCTGGTAATCGATTACACATTGCTGGTAATCGATTACACATTGCTGGTAATCGATTACACATTGCTGGTAATCGATTACACATTGCTGGTAATCGATTACACATTGCTGGTAATCGATTACACATTGCTGGTAATCTATTACACAGTGCTGGTAATCGATTACACACTCCTGGTAATCGATTACATCGTATTAAAAGCATCAGATATGTGCATCTGACACAGTCTAATCGATTACACATTGCTGGTAATCGATTACACACTCCTGGTAATCGATTACATCGTATTAAAAGCATCAGATGTGTGCATCTGATACAGTGTAATCGATTACACACTCCTGGTAATCGATTACACACTCCTGGTAATCGATTACATCGTATTAAAAGCATCAGATATGCGCATTTTTCACGTTGTAATCGATTACACCATGTTGGTAATCGATTACAACCCGACGACACCTCTTTAAAACAGAAACCCAAACACAATTTAGGGGGAGAACTTCGAAGAGAAGAGAGAGAGGAGAGCTTTTCAAGAGCAAGGAGCCTTAGGACTCATCTTAGAGCTTGAGAAGAGAGAGATCCTAAGGTTAGAGGTGGTGTCGGTAGAATTCGAGAAGTTGCCAAGAACCGAACCCCAATACTCACCAAGGTAAGGATGAGTCTTTAATGTGCATTTGGAATAGAAAATGTAAGTTTTTTCTGGTTATGCAATGATTGAGTTGTGAATTACGCATTTAGTATAAACAGATATGGGTGTGTTTATACTAAAGTGGGCGTAGATTTACGGAAGATGGAAAACGTGTGTATTTCTGATCATGCAATAATTATATTGTGAATCACGTGTTTAGTATAAACATATATGGGTGTGTTTATACTAAAGATGGCGTGGATTTACAGGAAATGGTTGATAGTGAAATCAATGAAAAGGAAACGTATTTTTAGCCGACCATAAATGGTTAGCGACTTTGGCTCAAGTTATGTAGCAATGCTTTGGCACAAGCTATGTAGCAACACTTTGGCTCAAGTTATGAAGCAATGCTTTGGCTCAAGCTATGTAGCAATGCTCTGGCTCAAGCTATGTAGCAACACTTTGGCTCAAGCTATGAAGCAATGCTTTGGCTCAAGCTATGTAGCAACACTTTGGCTGAAGCTATGAAGCAATACTTTGGCTCAAGTTATGAAGCAATACTTTGGCTCAAGTTATGAAGCAATACTTTGGCTCAAGTTATGAAGCAATACTTTGGCTCAAGTTATGAAGCAATACTTTGGCTCAAGTTATGAAGCAATACTTTGGCTCAAGTTATGAAGCAATACTTTGGCTCAAGTTATGTAGCAAAACTTTGGCTCAAGTTATGAAGCAATACTTTGGCTCAAGTTATGTAGCAATGCTTTGGCTCAAGCTATGTAGCAACACTTTGGCCCAAGTTATGTAGCAACACTTTGGCTCAAGTTATGAAGCAATACTTTGGCTCAAGTTATGTAGCAATGCTTTGGCTCAAGCTATGTAGCAACACTTTGGCTCAAGTTATGAAGCAATACTTTGGCTCAAGTTATGTAGCAATGCTTTGGCTCAAGCTATGTAGCAACACTTTGGCTCAAGTTGTGTAGCAACACTTTGGCTCAAGTTATGTAGCAAAACTTTGGCTCAAGTTATGTAGCAATGCTTTGGCTCAAGCTATGTAGCAAAACTTTGGCTCAAGTTATGTAGCAATACTTTTGCTCAAGTTATGTAGCAACGCTTTGGCTCAAGCTATGTAGCAAAACTTTGGCTCAAGTAATGTAGCACAAAATGAATTTATAAAATAAATGGTTTATTAACTCATTTTTCTAATGTGGATTATCTTATAATGATGTTTATTGAATTAATGACTTACTCCTTTGTGTGTTTTGTACTTTTGTCATTGATAATCCCATTGCAGGTAAATAGACGAATGAAGTATGCCAGGTCGGGAGCTTTAGGAGCTTTAGACTTTGGATTCACTATTTATGTTTTTCGTATTCTAAATGATTACCTGCGGATTTAAATGATTGTAATCATGACTAACCATTATTTGGATATTTGTAACCATGCGTAATGTTATTTTGGAGGATCAGAACCTTTGAGGTCTTAGTACTCATAGGGAATGATATGAATGAATTATGTTTTTCTACAAGATTAATTGTATGATAATATAATAGGTTATAAGATTAGTTCCAGGAATGATTCATGAGAAGTTCTAGGTAAAATGATTATGTATGTGGTTATTGATTCATGGATTGAGTGTGAGGAGGGGAAATAAGATTTTGAAGTAATGATATTAAAATGGTAATGTGAGTTATGAGTGATTGAATGGAATTGAATTAAAATGAGAAAAATTTTCAATGGTAGAATTTGGGTGCTTACAATATGGTATCAGAGCATAGTTAATTCTGCGACCTAGGGCATGGCCTTACTTGCTTCTTTGTAACATGTGTAAAAATTTGACTAGTTGAGATTGTGTGTATTGAATGTTTAAAGCTTGTGGCTTTGGTATGATGACATGCGACTTGTTATGAGACTATGTGATTTCCTGACTTGAGTGAATTAAAATTAGCTTACTGACTAGTGTAACAAGTGCGGTAGACTTCACTATGGAAGTACGTGCCCGGGAAAAGGGAATGGATGTTTCCACTGCAAGGAGTTTGGGCATATTAAAAGGTATTGTCCTAAGCTGGATCGGAGACCTAATGTCATGCATGCTGGGGAGGCAAGGGACCACGGTCGGATGGTTACCCCAAGTGGCGCAGGGACATTGGGTGTTGATGATCCGGCGAGAGGTAAACGCATGGTGACAGGTATTCCTTGTTTAGTGTTGTTGATTCGGGAGCGACACACTCCCTCATATATGTTAAATGTGAAAACCGGCTGAGATTGTAAACTGAGTCATTACTTCCGACTTGGTCGCGTCGAACCCAATCTTTGTGCTGGTGGTGGTGTCGACGTTTATGTTATGGAGTCCGGTTGTGGTAAAAGGTGTGATATTTACCATAGACTCAGTCTGCTTGTCGTTATCCCAGTTAGATATAATTCTGGGGATGGACTGATTGTCGGCAAATCATGTTATGATTGAATAGCGCTGACAGGGTTGTAGCTGTTGGGGATCTGTGCAAGGTCTCTGACCAGGCCAGTGGTATGGGGCCAATGTCGGCTAAGAAAGTCAGGACCCTCCTTCGAAAAAGGGATCGGTATTCATTCAGTAAATGTCACAAGAGGGTATTTAAGAACTCGTTAGTATTTCGAGATGTTAAGATTTGAAAGAACTATTTATTTTGTCTTGGAAAGTGGACTTTCGTCTATGAATGATTGACTTTTATAATAAGTATACTGACAAGAAAAATGTTTAAGTCGGGGATGCTTGTTTTCTCTTATGAGTTGTTAAAGGTTAATTCCCTTTGTTGGCCTTAGTGTGTATGCGCACGCTAAGAGGTGAAACTCATATTTCGAAAAATGAAATAGTGGTTGGATAAATTACCTAAAGGTCCTTGCGATTAATGTGTTTACATGGACGTTGACTAATCAGATGTATTATCATTTTGAGGTGACCTATGGTTGGTACCCCAAAATCGATTAAGTATGAAAAAGTTATTTTTGATTCTTGTGTATGAAGCTTTTGGTCTATGAAATTTATTTATTTTTTGTTAAAGATGAGTACCCGCCGTAACAAATGTATATTGGTATTGAACACCAAGCTATGTGCGGGGATGTTGAACCTCAAAAACTTATTTTGGATCGGGAGTGTCTCAGTGTACGGTTGGGGTAAATGGTAGAACCTTTACTATAGTGTTGATATGCGCGATGATGTCCCAGTTGGATTTAATCCTGGAAATGGACTAGCGATCAGCAAATTGTGTTATGTTTAACTGTGTGTACTTGTTGAGGTGAAGAATTAAGATCTAGTTGCATTGATATGTATATGGGTGCAAAAGGGTAAGACTTATAATGATAGTCGAGAAAAGAGGCTAGTTAAGTTACTTACCCCACCAATGTGATGAATGCAATGGAATAGACGTGAAACTTTTGGTCTCGAATGACCGGTTCTTTTGCGGTAGGACATTGGCAACGCATGAAAGAGTGGTGGTGATCCGAAATTGTCTGCGTTGAATGTGTATCGGCAAAAGTTGTTGTTGTTTCGTGAACGTCAGTAATTGCGGTGTATGGGTGTGGTGTAACCATAGGAGAGAAGAAGTTTTGGGTTGTGTCGAAATGAGCGTGCGAACTTTGTTTCACGACGTGGTTGCCATGAGTCGTGGATTCAAACCGCTTTCGAAAATCATTTTTGGGAAAACTTAGCTTGTGCCTAAGTAATGATTTAGTATCATGTTGGAGAATTCCGAAATTTTAGCAACCATATCGGAATAAGTATGAGGTTGTTAAAAGTTTAGTGATATGAGACGCCCATGTATTTCTGGACATAATGCGAGTGGGTTAATAAGTTTATATTTACTAACGGAATTGGGGTGACCAAACCAAACGCAAGTTGTAGGTTTGAGTGTTGGTCGACTTGTGCTTGCCGATTGGTAACAGAATACCTAGTTTTGGTGTGAATCAATGGTTTTATGGTTTCATTGGAGGCTAGAAATCGGTAATTTTTTTAGACGATAAGATTTGATGGTAGAAATATTTTATGTAATTAGACAATTACTGGATAGTTAGTTGATTGTGTATAATGGATGAGACACTAAGAATTCTATTGTGTAAGTATTTTGTGGATCTAGTAAAATCAAATTGTGCTAGAGTCTCGAGTGGAGATGAGACTAGCTAGTGTATGATGGATGTTAAAAGATGCATTTAGATAGATATGGGATCAGGAGTTCCCCATTCGCTGAAGTTCGAGAGTGTTATCGGGATTCTTAACGTATGTTAGGATTGATAGATGGATAGGTGTTAGAGATCTATGGTTCTTGATGGATATAAGAAAAATCTTTAGTCTGAATTATGGATTAGTTCCCATGGCACTCGAGTTATTAAAGGCTGAGATCTTAACATTTGGACATTGAGGAGTTAGTTCATGAATTGGTTTGGTGATATCGTGATTTAGTGGTGTATGCCCTTAGTGACTGATTAAGTAATCTAAATGGATTAGAGAATCGAATAGTGATTTTGGTTCAATATTCTTGTGCCTAAGGTCTAGGTGATGATTTTATTTTCCGAGGTATGTTTAATTTTCGGGGACGAAAATTCTAATAAGAGGGGGAGGATTGTAACACCCCAAATTTTAATCTTTAAAAATATAGTATCAGTCCTGGAAGCCTCGCTTGATCGAGAGATTCTCGCCTGAGCGAAAAAGGATCAGCTGGGAGGGTGAAATCCTGGACTATACTGGAGGATTCTCGCCTGGGCGAGAAATGACAATTTTGGGCTGTTGATACAGTGTAATCGATTACACTCTGCTGGTAATCGATTACACACTGATGGTAATCGATTACACTCTGCTGGTAATCGATTACATCGTATTAAAAGCATCAGATATGTGCATCTGACACAGTGTAATCGATTACACATTTCTGGTAATCGATTACACATTGCTGGTAATCGATTACACATTTCTGGTAATCGATTACACATTGCTGGTAATCGATTACACATTGCTGGTAATCGATTACACACTCCTGGTAATCGATTACACACTCCTGGTAATCGATTACATCGTATTAAAAGCATCAGATATGTGCATCTGACACAGTGTAATCGATTACACACTCCTGGTAATCGATTACACACTCCTGGTAATCGATTACACACTCCTGGTAATCGATTACATCGTATTAAAAGCATCAGATATGCGCATTTTTCACGTTGTAATCGATTACACCATGTTGGTAATCGATTACAACCCGACGACACCTCTTTAAAACAGAAACCCAAACACAATTTAGGGGGAGAACTTCGAAGAGAAGAGAGAGAGGAGAGCTTTTCAAGAGCAAGGAGCCTTAGGACTCATCTTAGAACTTGAGAAGAGAGAGATCCTAAGGTTGGAGGTGGTGTCGGTAGAATTCGAGAAGTTGCCAAGAACCGAACCCCAATACTCACCAAGGTAAGGATGAGTCTTTAATGTGCATTTGGAATAGAAAATGTAAGTATTTTCTGGTTATGCAATGATTGAGTTGTGAATTACGCATTTAGTATAAACATATATGGGTGTGTTTATACTAAAGTGGGCGTAGATATACGGAAGATGGAAAACGTGTCTATTTCTGATCATGCAATAATTATATTGTGAATCATGTGTTTAGTATAAACATATATGGGTGTGTTTATACTAAAGATGGCGTGGATTTACAGGAAATGGTTGATAGTGAAATCAATGAAAAGGAAACATATTTTTAGCCGACCATAAATGGTTAGCGACTTTGGCTCAAGTTATGTAGCAATGCTTTGGCTCAAGCTATGTAGCAAAACTTTGGCTCAAGTTATGAAGCAATGCTTTGGCTCAAGCTATGTAGCAATGCTTTGGCTCAAGCTATGTAGCAACACTTTGGCTCAAGTTATGAAGCAATGCTTTGGCTCAAGCTATGTAGCAACACTTTGGCTCAAGTTATGAAGCAATACTTTGGCTCAAGTTATGAAGAAATACTTTGGCTCAAGTTATGAAGCAATACTTTGGCTCAAGTTATGAAGCAATACTTTGGCTCAAGTTATGAAGCAATACTTTGGCTCAAGTTATGAAGCAATACTTTGGCTCAAGTTATGAAGCAATACTTTGGCTCAAGTTATGTAGCAAAACTTTGGCTCAAGTTATGAAGCAATACTTTGGCTCAAGTTATGTAGCAATGCTTTGGCTCAAGCTATGTAGCAACACTTTGGCTCAAGTTATGTAGCAACACTTTGGCTCAAGTTATGAAGCAATACTTTGGCTCAAGTTATGTAGCAATGCTTTGGCTCAAGCTATGTAGCAACACTTTGGCTCAAGTTATGAAGCAATACTTTGGCTCAAGTTATGTAGCAATGCTTTGGCTCAAGCTATGTAGCAACACTTTGGCTCAAGTTGTGTAGCAACACTTTGGCTCAAGTTATGTAGCAAAACTTTGGCTCAAGTTATGTAGCAATGCTTTGGCTCAAGCTATGTAGCAAAACTTTGGCTCAAGTTATGTAGCAATACTTTGGCTCAAGTTATGTAGCAACGCTTTGGCTCAAGCTATGTAGCAAAACTTTGGCTCAAGTAATGTAGCACAAAATGAATTTATAAAAGAAATGGTTTATTAACTCATTTTTCTAATGTGGATTATCTTATAATGATGTTTATTGAATTAATGACTTACTCCTTTGTGTGTTTTGTACTTTTGTCATTGATAATCCCATTGCAGGTAAATAGACGAATGAAGTATGCCAGGTTGGGAGCTTTAGGAGCTTTAGACTTTGGATTCACTATTTATGTTTTTCGTATTCTAAATGATTACCTGCGGATTTAAATGATTGTAATCATGACTAACCATTATTTGGATATTTGTAACCATGCGTAATGTTATTTTGGAGGATCAGAACCTTTGAGGTCTTAGTACTCATAGGGAATGATATGAATGAATTATGTTTTTCTACAAGATTAATTGTATGATAATATAATAGATTATAAGATTAGTTCCAGGAATGATTCATGAGAAGTTCTAGGTAAAATGATTATGTATGTGGTTATTGATTCATGGATTGAGTGTGAGGAGGGGAAATAAGATTTTGAAGTAATGATATTAAAATGGTAATGTGAGTTATGAGTGATTGAATGGAATTGAATTAAAATGAGAAAAATTTTCAATGGTAGAATTTGGGTGCTTACACCTTGTCCAAAGTAGAACCCACATGAACTTACAAAAGAAAATGTGCTCTTTAGCCAGAAGACACAGAATGTATTTAAATAGTCGAATGAAGTGCACGACCTATAAATTCCGGCAACGACCTCAAATAAACTAGGCCAAAAAGAGCATCATTCAACTTCCCTTCCCTGCAAACAATGATACTTGTTAGACTATAATAAAAGGAAATCAAGATAAAGGAAAGCGACGGAGAAAGATTGAACAAGATGGGTCCTGCACCTAACATTGGAATTGATCATACACCCGTAAAGGAAGATTTGAAGCTAATTAATATCTCTAAACCAACCAAGGGGCAGTAGTGAACACAATTCTGAAAAATATCAAAATCAATAGTTTTCTGTTACAATCAGAATCATTAAGCGGCATTGGTAGATAATCTTGAATGCAAAAATCAGAAACAATAAGCATTAAGATGTCAATTATGAGCAGGCTGCAAATCAAAGTAATCAAGACATTAAAGAGGTGGTCACAAGGGGTCATGGCTGTTATGAGTAGGCTGCAAATCAAACTCTGAAATTACTATCCTATTTCAGTTGCAAATTGCAATGATGGAGAGCCTTTAACGCATTAAAACAGAATTCATTTCCCCTACAGTTACACATTCTTACATTCAGAAAGATAACAATTGCCAACTCAAAGGGCTTTTAAAAGTTAACTGAAGAAACTGATACGGGATATAAAGGACCAAAGCAATCAGAGAGCAAGGAGACATACATGCATTTTGGCATTTTTGGAAAAAGAAAACACAACTTCCATCCAAAGAATTTTATCCTCTCCATCTATCCATCACTTACATACACACACAACTAGAATCTGCACGCATCATACTCCAAAACACCCCACAGATAATCAGCCCCTGCTATAATTTATACAATTATACATATACATATACAAGTATTAACAAGTATTAAGTTTCAGAATTCAAAATGCAGAAATATTAACAAGTATCTTTACAATAAAATATATCATTTCTCTCGACTTCAAATCCATAATCTATACAATTATCCCCATTTCAAATAAGGCATTTATTAAAGACATTAAATTAACCTTATTACATCTTTAGTAAGGAGTCATTTATACAAAAGGAATTACTCCCACATATTTCTCATATTACATACATTATACATATACAATTTCAACCACATATATAACTACTCTAGTCTATACTCCCGTCAGCAAACATCTGAGGCGCATCATCAACAACCTGAACTCATATGCATAACATAGACAAAGAAAGGACAGAAGGGAGTAAGAACCAAGTACGGCGACCGTAGCGTGGAAGTAAATGAGGTAATAACATTAAATTGCTACAACCTATATAGCAACTAAAATCAACCATATCAACATATACAAACGATACACACAATAAATACATCATATCGTAGGATATTTGCGTCTCCAATTAGTAGGTATTATAACTTACTTATATGATTCATCCAATTCAATCTTCATCAAGATCATAATACCATAGTAACTCACAATACCCAACGAAAACTTCATACCCGAAGGCAATACAATACTTCCAAAGCAACACAACACTTCCAAAACAATACAATACTTCCAAGCAACACCATACCACATAGTGCAAGTCAGACATTGCCACAAGAGCCAATACCACATAGGGCAAGTCTACACCACTAAGGCGATTCAATACCACATAGGGCTAGTCTACACCAGAAAGGCGATTCAATACCACATAGGGAAAGTCCACCCCACAAAGGCCATCTAATACCACATAGCGCAAGTCTACACCACAAAGGCGATTCAATACCACATACACCATGTACATTCCTCATATCACTCTCACAATCAATCTAAATCATCCTCATGTCAATACAACAATATCATTCACAATATAATCATTTCCACTATGTTACTCTCATATCACTACTTCCCCATAACAAAATCCTCAATCATTCACAAAATACCACTTCCATGTCACAATCACAATATATATCTTATTTCTTACCACAATAAAGTAACCCACAACATAATCGTTATCACCTAACACAATCATCTCATTTCTATCACAATATCATTATCCATAGACAAAAATAAAAATAGAATAATCTTTCATGAAGGCGTATTACCATAAACAAGTATTTCGTATTTAGTTTGACAAAACGATTTTCATGTTTATGGCTAATACATCTTCATCGAAGACAAAGACTCTCACATGGATAAATAAGCTTCCAATGGAGTTTCTATCCAACAACACTCTCCGATTATTGAGGGAAATCAGAGATGATAACTCTAATGAAATACTCAAAAACCATAAGGGTCTTCTCCCTCACTTGAGTTTGCATAAGCTTCGTTGTGTAATGACCCAAATTCTATACTTGAATTTTTTCCTTATTTTAATCCATTCCCACATGTATTCTTTCGGATATCATATAATTTTGAAACACCCGATGGTTTAACTTTGGTCGCCCATTAATTATTTCTCAATTTCTTTTACATGCAATATTACTACACATACTCATAATGCAGAAAAACATAATTCATTTAAATAACTCCCCATGAGTGCAAGGTATCAATAGTTATGATTCTCAAAACCGCAATACTCATGGTTACAAACATTCAAATCCCCAAATAGTCAGTAATAGTACAAAAAGGCGTAAACAAAAGAATCCATATTTTAAAGCTCCTAAAGCTCCAAAATAAGAATCCTCAATTTACTTGTTTACCTGCAATGGGATTATCAATAACAAATACACAAAACATACAAAGGAGTAAGTCGTTAATTCAATAAACATGATTATAAGATAATCCACATTTTTAAAGGGGGTTAGTAACCTTTTTAAATTCATTTTCGCAACATAACTTGACCCAAAGTATCGCTACATAACTTGAGCCAAAGTATCGCTACATAACTTGAGCCAAAGTATCGCTACATAACTTGAGCCAAAGTATCGCTACATAACTTGAGCCAAAGTATCGCTACATAACTTGAGCCAAAGTATCGCTACATAACTTGAGTCAAAGTCGCTAACCAATCATGGTCGGCTCTTTTCATTGATTCACCATCAATTCATAAACAGCAATTCCACACATTCTCTCAATACGTATGCTAATTAAAGACTAATCCTTACCTTGATGAGAGTGGGGTTTGGTCCTTGGTAACTTTGCAAGTTCCTCCGACACCGCCTCCAACCTTAGGATCTTTCCTCAGTCCCACCACATAACAACAATGTTAGTCATTTATTCAAAATAACACATAAACAACTCATATTTCATCTTTAACCATACAAGAGATTCACACATTTTCAATGTTTCTAAAACTACCTTCATTAAGAGTTTCCAAACATCTAAAACATACATTTTCATCTTATATTCAACATTAGGGAATATACTCATCTCCTACATCTAACATTTCACCCATTTCCAAGAGAAAAACAAATCATCCCCATATTTGATTTCCAACTCTAAACCAAGAGTTTACAAGAGAAAAACAACATAAAACGAACCACCACTCTAAATAGAAAGTCTCCATGGTTTCTCATGTTAAGAGAAGAGATCCCACATACCCAAAAACAACTTTCAAATGGGAGAAGGAGAGTTAGAATAAAGATATTTACCTCTTCTAAAGCTTCTAGATGATTCCCTGGAATCCATGCTTTTGAAAATGCTCTCTTCTCTCTATTCTCTCCAAAGTTCTAACCCTAAAAGTGTTTAGGGTTTCTCTTTTAATGTAATAGCGTCGGGTTCTCGCTCTAGCGATCTTATTCTTGCTCAAGCGAGAATATCCCGCCTATTTTAAAAATTCAGCACTGACGCTCTCGCTCAAGCGAGGAATTCTCTCTCAAGCGAGAATCCTTCAATGTCCACCCTCTCTCCTTCACCCAGGCAAGCCACATCTCGCCCAGGCGAGAATCCCTGGAAATCTTGGGAGCATATACTAAGCCTCTCGCTTGGGCGAAGCCCTCTCGCTCAAGCGAGAAACACCCAGTATACCACAGGTTTCCTAGAATTTTCGTGACACTTAGGAAAATAAAATCAGGGTGTCACAATCCTCCCCCTCTTTAGAGAATTTTCATTCTCGAAAATTAAACATACCTCGATTCAAATAGATGAGGGAAAACTCCCTCATATCTCGATCCACGTCCCAAGTCGCATCGCCTTCGTCCACTTGGCTCTGTAATACTTTCAACAAGGAAATTTCTTTTCCCCTCAATTTCATAATGCTAGTATCCAAGATCCTCATGTGTAAGGTCGCGAAGGTTAAGTTATCCTTCAATTCTATCTGATCGGACTCAACCACATGAGATGGATCCCCTATATACTTCTGCAATTGAGACACATGAAACACATTGTGGAGATTCGACAACAATGGGGGTATAGCAATCCGATATGCTACTGGTCCTATCCTCTTCAATATCTGATATGGTCCAATAAATCTCGGAGTAAGCTTACGAGACTTCAACACTCTACAAATCCCAGTAGTCGGAACTACACTCATAAATACATGATCTCCCTCCTTAAACTCAAGAGGTTTTCGCCTCTTGTCATAGTAGTTTTTATGCCGACTCTGTGCTATTCTCATATTCTCCCGGATCCTCTTAATCTTTTCCGTCGTTTCTCGAACTAACTCCGGTCCCAATACTAGGTTCTCCGCAGTTTCAAACCAGCTTACATGAGTCCTACATTTTCTCCCATACAGGGTTTCATAAGGGGCCATCCCGATACTAGTATGGAAACTATTGTTGTTGGTGAACTCAATTAAAAGCAACATGTTATCCCAACTCCTAGGCTGTTCCAAAACACAAGCCCTCAAAAGATCCTCCAATTACTGTATGGTCCTTTCTGATTGACCATCCGTTTGTGGATGATAAGTCGAACTCAGTTTCAACTTAGTTCCCAATGCGGACTGCAAACTGGTCCAAAAGTTTGAAGTGAAATGGGGATCCCTATCCGACACAATACTCGACGGTATCCCATGCAACCGAACAATCTCCTTGATATACAACTCAACTAATCGTTCCAAATAATATTTCATGTTCATCGGCAAGAAATGAGCAGTCTTCATCAAACGATCAACTATTACCCATATGGAATCATACCCTCTCTAAGTCTTTGGAAAGCCCGATACAAAATTCATGGAAATACTATCCCACTTCCAAACGGGAATCTCTAGTGACTGTAATTCCCCGCTGGCCTCTAATGTTCAATCTTGGCTTTCTAACATATAAGACAACTCGAGACGTACAAAGCCACATCCCTTTTTAAACCAGACCACCAAAACAACGTTTTCAGATCTTGATACATTTTCGTTGTCCCCGGGTGAAAACTCAT